ATATATAATATATATGTATGTAATCACGGCATTTGTACGAAAAATTAATCAATCAAAATAAACTGCAAATTTGGTAAAGCAAATAAAAGAGATGAAACTATGCGTTTTCATCAGAGTTGCCAGGTGGGCTAGAGTCTTTCGATGTTTACTAATCTAATCGGAATTTCAAAAAAATTTTTCTAGACAATTTTATTTGATTTACTTCAAAGTGTTTGCCATACTTCGAAGTAATCGAAGAAACACATCACGGCGGAGGAGAGTTTGGGTAAAAAAAAACAACCAGGCGTTTCTCTGAGCCCTATCGTCAATAATTAACCAGCTTACAGCAAGCTCTACAAAAGAGCGCTCAGGATTATCATTAGAAAGGTGTTGTGTTTCATCATGACATCGTCAGATCACATACCATACTTCTGTAATTTTTTATTTCGGATTCCGTACGAGACTTTCCACTCACCTCGAGAAAAATGATGGCATTTTTTCTTTCGATTTCCGCCTAATGTGCATAAATCTTAAATTTCTAAAAAGAAATAAATATTTTTTATTTCTAACATTTTGATTTAACTCAATTTTCCGAGCAGTGGACATGAGCTATTCGAAGAAAACCATACTTGGACTAATCTAGCTCAAATTATTCATTATGTTGATTTGTGTTTTTTACTGGGAAGCAAGTAAAATCATTTTCGTGATTTTGATTTTTAACTGCGACCAACTTCAACTTGAATTCCTGAATATCTTTTGCTAGGTCCCAAATGAATATATTCTTTCCTTGTAGCCTCACTTTCAACTCGTTTAGATTTTAGAAAAAATTATAAGCAATATTTGAAAAATATTAAAGTTTCCTCTTTGTCGACTGAAATTTTTCGCTTGGCCACAGGTGACCACTAATTTGGACAGCACTCTCCCATAGATTATAGGAGAGTGGAAATATTGGCTAAAGTTGCTTCGATCTCACTGTATGTTCTCATAACAAATCTTTCAAGATGTTGTTGTTGTATGTTTAAAATTTAGTGTCAGATTAATTGTAATAATATTTATTTTCGTTTTGCAATACTTATGGGTACAACAACTTCTGTAAATGGAGAGAGAAGCACTGCACACATTCCACGCAAAAATTTGTTTATTTTTTTACCTCTTTTCAGATGATTCATTTTTAAAAATGAGACATTTTGCTCAATTCCGTGGATAACAATGAAACCTAAATGCCGGTGTTATATACACAAACATTAAAAAATAAATCAGCAAACATTTTTTGTGCGTCATCAACAAATAATGCTTATCGAAAGCTCTTCGCTGTAGAAATTACCTTGAAGAATCAATTGTGATTATTGTTGCATACATTTTTATAATAAATATACGAGCCACTAAGTTTCTTTTTTTAATTCATTAGCAATCAATTTCAAACATTTATTATTACATGCTAGTATTTAATAAATCTATATTCGCCGATCAAGCTTTAGCATCACTTCGTATTCGACTCTTATTGTATTTGATTACTCTTAGCTTTCACACTCTCCCATTCATTCACGCTCTCTTTTATTCCGGTTTATTTATCAGCTGTTGGAGAACACATTTTAGCGCGCAAAATTTAATATTTTATTTAACTGATAGGGAAATCAACTGAGCATACATATGTATGTGTGCAAGTATTTACATACTTACTTATGTAAACAATTATATGATGCCAAAGAGAGGGAGATTCAGTTACATATTGAACGTTAATCAATTAATATTTATTTAACCTTCATTAACTTTTTATAGCGTTTAAACTGAGTACCTTTAAGTGCCGACATTCTTTACACACATTGCTTCCAAACGTCAACATATACTCGTATATAGGGTTTTCCAATAAGAGTGATATGATTTCTTAAAAAAAAAGACATGCTCTTTGTTAAGGAAATTCAAAATTTTTTTATTTAATATTAAGTACAGCGGATGCAATTAAGTTCTGAATATAACAACATTCAAATAGTCTCCACGACTTCTTCTGCAGGAACGAATTCGACGGACCCAAATTTTTTTAGCACTTTTTCCACTAACTCAAGTCGTATGTCATGAACCACACGTTCGAAATTGACTTTTAAGGCTTGAAGAGAGTCTGGTTTATTTTTCTAAAAACCAATGACTTCAAATAAACCCACAGGAAGTAGTCTAAAGGTTTTAAATAAAAACTTTTTGGAGGCCTTTCAATATCACAATTCCTTGAAATAATCAAAATTCAAATCCTTTCTCGCAATAATTCGGTTGTTGCACGTGTTGTATGACCCATAGCACAGTCTTGTTGCAATCAGGTGTTGCTGAGATCAACTTCTTCCAATTGTGGCCATAGAAAGTTGGTTATCATCTAACTATACCGCTCTACGTTGGCAGTAACGGGGCTACAAGCTTCGTTTCGAAAGATATACGGACCGATGCTTCTACCAGATTAAAATCCACACCAAACTGTTAATTTAAAGTTTGAAACATCACGTAGTTGCTGACTCCATAGCTACTGTCACACAGTAAAAAGCAGTCCCTATATTCGTTTTGCTCAAAAAGGTGGTTCAAATATTATTAAAAATAATGCAGTCATGTCCAGAACCAGGTAACCTACATACAAAGTTCGTTATTTCCATTGTGACTTTGACCCAACCTTTCCTGCTTCGAAAACTTTCGACAATTTCCTCTGATTCTGAAATGAGTGCAATCTATACACAGAAACACCTTTGGAAACTTCGGTATTCGGTGAAATGTGCGCATTGTGCTTTCAATTCGATTTTTTCTTTTGACAGTTGTAATCTGTCCGTTCTAGCTTGCTTTAGAAAAAAGTACGCGTAATTTTCGCCAAATTTTACTTTATTATTTCCTTAAAGGAAACACAGTGTCGGAGCTGGTTTGTGAAATTCCGTTCGGGCGATTTTTCACTCAAAGGTAAGCCACATTCAGGTCGGCCAAGTGAAGTTGATGATATCAAGGCTTCCATCGAATTGGATCGTTATGTAACAGAGCGTGAGATTGGAGGGAAGTTAAGTCCTTCATCACATACGACGTCATGGACTGGTAAAAAAGTTATGGTATACCACATGAATTGAAAGAAATTCATTTAACAAGCCCCTTCAATGCTTGTGTTAGCATCTTTAAACGCAATGAATATGATCCGTTTTTGAGGCAAATTATAACTTTTCCGAGAATGATGAACCACTTAAAATGCTTACATTCACCAAGAGAAGATTATGCTGTCAGTTGGGTGGGATTGGAAGGATGACGTGTATTTTGAGCTCTTCCTAGAAACCATATGATTAATTCGGATGTCTACTGTGAACAACTGCATAAATTGAATGCACCGACCAACGAGAAGCGGCCAGAATTGGGCAATCGTAAAGGTGTCACCAGGACATTAATAGACCGCAAAAAACTTTGGTCACTCGTCAAAAACTGAGAGCAACTGGGATATGTAGATGCATCCACCGGTGCTACAGACCTTGCGCCGTCAGACTACCATTTGTTTCAATCCTTAAATGACGAGGCTATAAAATCGAACTTGTTTCAGTTTTTAGCAGATAAAGACCAAAAGTTCTATGAGCGTGGAAAAATGATGTCGCCGGTAAGATGGCGTAAGATCAGCTTACAAAATGGAAATTCCATAATTAATTAAAGTACATTAAAAAATTAAAAAAAATTTATTTACTACATTTTAAAAATCGCCGGTGTCTTTCTTTTGAGGCAACCCAATATTTGACTAAGTGGGGAAATGTGCGCTATATCGACCAATAGTTGATAACAATAACCGTGAGAGCGGAAAATACCTATGCAAACAAGCAACCATAGTGCTTTCACATACATATAGTATGTAAATATGTATGTAAATTTGATGGCAAATAAAAACTCGAGTGGTTAACAAAGGCACCAGAGGGCGCATTCATTTCCACAACTGTCATCAAGCTAACGTAAGGCAAATTTCGAAAAAAAAGCAGATACAAAAAAAAAATTTTTTTTGTCGAAAAAAAATCAAGACAAACGCATACGGTGAGAGCATGAAAAGACAACTCCAAAAAAATAGCGCTGACATATTTATTGTACCTTTGATACCAAAACAAACGAAATGGCAAGCATTAATAAATACACAAACAAACAATAACAAAAAAAAAGAAAATAATAATTATACTAAAAACAATGTGTATGTGCGTTTGTATTTATGTGATTTTTTAGCGGCTTGTCTACGCTCAACGAGCGCATATTTCTCTGCGCTGCTTCAAAATGAACTCTCTTTTTACATTGTCGCTCGCCACTCTGCGCTAACTGAATTGTACCGATAAACATACATACATATGTATATATAATAAGTATATAGTCATATGCATATGTATGTACATATATGCATGTCTATATCTACACATATTGGAGCATTGTCATTGCTAACCTCCTCTCTTTCTGCACTGCAGCTGCTACCCACCGTCGAGGCAATGGAATCAAATTCTGTTGTTTTTTACTTTTTTTTTTTTGTTTTTTATTTTTTTTTGTAAATAACCGACCCGGCGCGGCGGTGTCTATTTTTGCACGCTCGTTTACTACTCATCCATATTTATATATACACATTATCAAACATGTATTTATGTGCATATATATGTATATAATTCCATAAATATAAATATAAGTCTATATAACAAATTCCAAGATAGTCGCATGCTTTCCATCTATTGTAGTTTATTCATAGGTATTTGTATCTACACTTGTATCAACCTTTGCAAGGCTCTTTGATGTCTACTCTTTCGAGTTTTGCTTTGTGCTTGCTGTTCGCTGAATTTATTTGGACATAAAAGTACGCCGCATGTCGTTAACCTATCCGCTGACCGGTGAAGCTGATGATATCTAAATGCCAAATTTGTTGGGATAGCAGCTGTCAGCTGGGTTGTTTGCGCTGCGCTAAAAGTGGGAGTTGTGGGAGTTAAGCGAACAGCAATAACCCAAGGAGGAGAGTTTGACATTTCATTTTACGCAACAAACACTTGATTACAGTTACTTACTGAGTCACGAGCATTTGATGGCTGTATGACAGATTTTAAAGACTCCATACGCTGACTTACCAGCAAGTACGGCCCCGTTGGTGTTAGCCGCAGTCCACGGTAGAGATGACTGCTCAGCTCCGTACGTCGCATTAACATACGGAAACTTGTTACACATACGCTCGGCGCCATATTCATGCACACACCGAATCCTGTAGCTACACCAGCAACGACACGCCCGCCTATACGCACGCCCACTTTTTTTTACCGCTTTACCGTGCCGACAGACAGCTACTTAGGGAACAGCACAAAACCCACAGCCGTCCACTTCAACTTCGTTTAGCCGAAAAAGCAAATACCAAACAAATTTTAATAACAGATTTTTTCTTTAATTAATTATTTCTATATATTTTTGCACGCACAGAAGAGGGAATTTCTTTAGGTTTTTTTTTTTGTATAAATTTGGCATAGAGATCTTCTCTGGGCAATCTTCGTGCTCCACTTATTGAAACACTTTGCCACTTTATTATTTTTTCCCTACTTAATATGCCACTTTGCCCACACACACACACACTCGCGTGCACGCACACAAACACACGTGCGGTATTATGCACGTCTGTATGTCCGCCTCTAGCTAACACAACAAATCCAAACACCGGGGAGCTCACTAGTCGTTGGTCGCTGGCACTGGATCGGGCTCACTGGCGCGCTCGTTGGTTTGTGTACACTTTCTTCGTTTAACAAATATACCGTCGCGGCTGGCTATGGTCCGCAATGCGAAATAAAGTGTCCCCAACACGCACAGAACGTTGGCCAACAACTGAAAGTTCTCTTTGGTTTATTATTTATCACGCGAATGCTTTCACTTTATTTCTTCCACCTTTGCTTTGGGGCAGTGCTGCCAGAGTTTGGAGCTTTGGAGTGCAAAGAAGCTCACTGTGAGTGTTGTTTGCAATGGGAAAAGCTGCGACGACTCTTTTGCAAATATACAAATGTGTTTTTTTATTTAACAAGCGGGCGATTCAATATTTTTCTAGTTTTATATGTATATATATGTATGTACCTACATACAAATATATATAATTTTTTTTCTTTATTTTATGTTTCATTTTGAATACAAAAATGAATTCGGCTAAAAATACCGCAAATATAATCTCTGATATATATTTTTCATTGTTTTTTTATGAGCTTTCTACAGACAGCTATAAACTTAAGCGATACGTTAGCACGCGCGCCCCAATGTCAAAAGCATACATCGGGCAATGTTGCAAACTCAACTCAAAATTTAAATACAAACTTCACACGCTACCGTTTCATTAAGAGCATAAGCTTAATATGAGAAGTGAGAGCGAGATACAGAGAGCTTAATGCTAACATCTCTTTGGTGCTTTTAAGGTTTGCTCTTGAAATCACTGCCCACTTGGCATTCGCAAAGCTAAACATTTTACCAAGTGGGCAGCATGTAGGGCAATTTAGCTTTTGTGCTTTCAAATATATGTACATATGTATATCTATATACATATGTATGTACATATAGCAGTGTAGTATACATATTTCAAATATTATAATAATACATCATTTAGTACTTCTGAATATAGCGATAAAAGGCCTTTTTTAGACATATTAATTAAATAGCGATTGTAAAGCGAAGCGGAAAAATTTAAAAAAATAACATGCACTAGCTTACTTTTTTTTGGCAAGCTTAGGAAAGCGTTTCGTAGCAAGCTTTTTATTCCTGTTTCCTGCACATTTTAAGTTATTTTGGTATAAAATGCTTTTATGCTTAACCTAAAGCTTAAAAATAAAGTCCTGAGCTTCGCAAAGAAAAAACTTCCGGTAAAAGATAGTAGTTTTCTTGTCATGTGAAATCATTTTGCTAATTACCGTCAGGATTAAGAATATTGTACAATAAATACTTCCCAATTCTTCCAAATCAGAGTCGTTAATATCCATTTGGTCGACAACGGCTGCTTCTTTATTCGCTGCACTGTTATATGTGCATAGAGTCGCCTCATAAAGTCTACATACTCCACCTAAAAAGCGCAGATCTGAGCACCATCATTCGAACCCTTTGGCTATTCCCTTGACCTCCACAACAAGTCAAACGCGCCTGAAGAGAAGGGACTTACTACCCATGGAAAGAGCAACATTCAGCGCATAGCCAATTCCTAGCCAATGGGCTATTGTATTCTAGTTTGGTTTTTTAAGATTTGATAACTTATTGTGAGACTTTTTATATCGAAAGGTATACAAATTAATATTTGACTCGTCGATCTGGCCAGCATTCGGACATTCGCATGATAACCACTCGACTGATGCGTCGTCCGGTTGTGAGGCTAAGCAACGCGACCGCTTGGTGGATAATTCTCAGAAGCTACCGCATGTGAAAAATCTTGTGTTTTCTAATTGCTTCCAACAATAAAATCTCGATATAGTTGTCAAAAGCAGCAATTTGGCCGATAATAAGGAAACTATGCTCCAACTATGCTGGCAGATTCCACTTAAGAATTGAACAGACTCACTCTTGACGCAGAATTCAGTGAAAAACCGCTTAAATATTTGCGCCGGTGTTTAAATCAAATCGAATTTATGGAGGCAACACTCCTCCAGTTAGCTAAATGGCAGTAAAAATGAAACATCCGGTGATGGTAAAACCGAAGAACCCATTGATGACGATGAAAAAATTGTTCCGTTACCCGACTCTGACGAGGTTCGAATAGCAATAGCCCGCTTAAAAAAAAGCGGCGGGAACCGATGGACTACCGACCGAGCTTTGAAGAACTGATCAGCTTCTTTGCAAAATATAGTCAGATTAAAGCAAGACAGACGATTGAAATTTAAGTGCGCTCTGCCCCATCCACACAAAGTACGATCCCATAGACTGCGCCAAGTACCGTGGAATAAGCCTCCTTAATATTGCATACAAGGACTTGTCGAACGTATTAGGTGTAAGCCTAAGGCCAACCGTCAACACACTGATTGGATCTTATCAATGTGGCTTCAGACCCGGTAAGTCAACCATTGACCAGATATTCGCCATACGCCAAATTTTGTAAAAGACCCGTGAAAAGAGTATCAACGCACCCTACCTTTTCGACAATTTTCAAGGCAGCTTCGACAGCACAAAAAGATGCTGCCTCCATGCCGCTATGTTGAAATCGGTATCTCCGCAAAAGTACGGCCATGTAAACTGACGCTAGACAACACCAGAAGCGCAGTCACAATTGGGTAAGACTTCTCCAAGCCGTTCGATACCAAACGAGATTTCAGACAAGGCGACTCTTTATCGTGTGACTGATTTTATTTGATGCTGGAGGAAATAATACGAGCTGCAGAGCTAATTAGAGAAGGTACAATCTTCTAGAAGGGTATATAGCTGCTGGCGTACGCCGATGATATTGACATTATTGGCCTTCACAACCGCTCCGTGAGTTCTGCTTTCTCCAGACTGGATAAGAAAGCGAAGTGTAGGGCTCTGGCAGTGAAAGGGGACAAGACGATATATCTCTTGTCATCAACCAAATAGTAATCGCATTCGCGACTTGGCACCCACGTCACTGTCGGCTGTCATAACTATGAAATCGCAGATATTTTCGTTTCTCTAGGGACCGACAGTAACACCAATAATAATGTCAGCCTTGAAATCCAGCGCAGAATCACTCCTGCAGTAGGCAATTGAAAAGTAAAATCCTCTCTTCCAGTCGCTCATCGTAGGTCATGTCCTCCGTATGGTATTGTAGAAAGCACTCCAACTTTGAAAGTATTCGATGCAGTGCCCGCCGGTGGAAGCAGAGAAAGCGGAAGACCTCCACTTCGTTCTCTGGGAGAGAGTGACTTGGTTTCACTTTGTATTTCCAACTGGCGTCAAGCGGCGAAAAGCAGAGATGAATGGCGCACTCATATATATTCGGCTATAATCGCTTAAGCGATGCCGACGCCAAGAAGAAGAGGAAATTTTAATTTTCGTTGTGTGTTGCCTTTTGTATAGTTGAATGGTGTGAAGAGCAAAGCGTTTAAGGGTGAAGATTCGAAATTAAATCAAATGTAAATCTATTTTTTTGCACACACGCCCACACACCTGCAGTACGCCTTTATGAGCTCCGGCTTTCAATTTTCCAACTCAATTAAAAACCAATTTCTAATTTATTTTGTCAATATACATATTTGTTTATTCATTTAATTACTGTTTCTTTCTCTTTTTTTATTGTCTCTTTATGAATATGTTTTTGTTTTTGCCTTTTGCCTTATACAACACTGTTTGTTAAGCCTAGCTTTTTTTTGTAGGTTTTTCTCTGCTAAGCGACACACTTGCACACACATGACTAATCTAATATAAATAGTTAGTAAAATCAATAAAGTTCTTAATGTTAACACTGCACTTTTATCGAGTTTATATTTCAATTTTGTTTTTGTTTTTGTTAGCTTTATATTTATTTGTTATCTATTGATACGCTATAATTACACACATACATATTAATAGCAGATACATATGAGATAAGCATATTTACATACATTTAAATTTACATTAATTTCAAAGCGGCATACAAACATATATATTACACATGTAAAGAAGAAATACAAGTATTGTATGTGTAAATACTCGTCTGTATGTACATCGCGCCCTAACAGCCAAAAAAATGTAAGCGATTGATACTCGATTTTTCGTCGAGAGCATTCAAACAGAACCATCTAGTAAACTATGCGAGAACTTGTTGGGTATATATGAGTAATGGATAACACCGCAGCATATTAAGTTGAGTTGAGTTGAGCTCTGTAGAGCTAATATTTGTGTAAGTGAAGAGCAGTAAACTGTGGCATTTATATATACTCAAGTTAAGCTGGCTCTAAGTATGCTAGAACCGACTCTAACTAGAAGAATGCTATGGGTACATAGGTCATGAAGGCCAAAAAAAAAGCTTATTTTCTCTAATTTTCTTAAAACATACTAAATTAGGTGTACATTTTATTTTGTTTACATTTAAGAGTACAATATATGAACAACATTTAGTAAAAATTTGAATGAAAAATAGTATAAGTTAAGGCGTTGGCAGTGTCGTGAAGTAGACCGTCCACAAGAAAGTGCTTTCGCGGTAGTCATGATAACTTTTTCAATTTTAATCTGAAATCAAAAATCCAGTTTTTTCTTAAAGTAGATAAATTTTCCTTGTATCTGAACAAAGAAAAATTAAAAAATTAAAAATAGAATTCTTTTTTTTTTACAAAAAACGTAATTTTTTGCATAAAATTAGGCCACATATTGGCTTGGAAAATGTGTGGAAATCAAAGATAAAATAAATCCTTCGTTCAGGGATTACCAGAACATGCTTTAAAGAAGTGTGGATAATTTTAACTCGAACGCTTCAGTAGCCGTTGAGAAATTTTGACTACCGATTCCGATTAAGTGGTTTTAACAAAAACGCCGTCTTGCCTGTCGCCATCGGTCAAGCCATGACAAAGACGGCGGATTATAAAACTCTCTAATTTCTACAGTTTCATCTCGATCGACTTGAAACTTGGGGAATATATCCCTCATATTTTGTACTTTCATACAAAAAATTATCAAAAAAAAAAAATGAATTTTTTAAGGTTTCAAGACCTACACGTATGCAACCCCTTAAGTAAAGCCGAGTTAGAGTCAGCGATTAAAGAGTGTTCAGAGTAGAATAGCTTGTTAGTTTTCCGCTTGTAAAAAGCAATGAAATGAAAGCCACTCCTAGCTATTGGGCTGTCATATTAAATTTTAATTTAGATTTTGAGATTTGACTACTCATTTTGAGGCTGCCAATGTCCAACGTTGCTACGCACGTTAAACACAACACCCGCATTCTTATTGGCAATTCGAAATAATTCACATATAATCACAAAGTAAATTCTTATGTACAATAGTTGGTAATCGAGAACGAAGGCACACGAAGCCTAAGCAGCTGTGGTGAAGTGCTTTATTGAGCAGCTGCCTTTTGGTGA